AAGGCGTTCGCCTTACAAGCGGCCAACATGGTCGACCCGAGTTCGATTCCTCCGCCCCTCTCGGAGAGCCCGGCAAGCTACCGAAAGTATTCGATATGCCAGACACAGTAACAACAAAGTCTCCAATGGAGACGTTACTGGGCCCGCTCGAGCAAATCGATGATCAACGGGAGGGCCTTTACTTTACTTTACTTTTTACTTATTCATGATTAGATGAATAATCATTTAATAATCATCTAAAACCCAGCAAAACAGGAATAGAAAGAACATACCCATGATAGAGTCACAGACAATAAATGCACAGCCAAATCATAGTAGTAAAAGCTGCGCCTTCCCCCTGAGATCAGCCACAAGGTAAGGAAGCCTGCTTTTCCCACTATTTAGTATTCAATATAGTTTCTGGAAGTCCTTGCCACAGCAATCAGGAAATAAAAAGAAATTAAAGGACTGGAGAGAGAGTACAATGGGTAAGGTGCTTGCCTTGCATGCAGTCAACCAGGTTTGATCCCCAGCATCCCGTATGGTCCCCTGAGCACAGCTAGAAGTGATTCCTGAACGTACAGCCTGGAGTAACCCAACATCACCAGGTGTGGCCCCCCAAAATAAATAAATAAATAAATAAATAATAAAATAAAAGGCATTCAAATTGGAAAATAAGTGAAGGAAATATCTGTACACTCTACATCAGATGAAGATCTAATATCCAAGATACATAAAATACTCACAAATCTCAACAACAGAAAACCAATAATCGCATTTTAAAAAGTTGGGGTAGATGTACAGACACTTCCCTGAAGAGAACATACAGTTGGTCAGTAGGCATCTTAAAGTGTTCACTGTCACTTTTTATTCTCATCAAAGTGAGCATGGGGTATCGTCTCACACTAGTGAGGATGGTATATATCAAAACGACTAGAAGCAACCAGTGTTAGCAGGGATGTAGTGAAAAGGGAACTCTCTTTCACTATTTGTGGGAATGTCAACTGGGTTAGACTCGATGAAAACAGTATGGACACCTCTTTAAAACCAAAGAATAGAGCTTACAAATGATCCACCACTCCCATTTTTTTGAGTATCTAGCCAGGAGCACAAAAACATTCATTCGAAAACATGTGTGCACACCTATGTTCACTGCAGCACTAAGTCAACAGTCAAGATTTAAAAATATTGTCAACACCTGATGACAGATGAGGGGTCAGAGAGATAATACAGTGGGCAGGGCACTTCCCTTGCAAATGGCTGACACAAGTGGTCCCCTGAGCCCACCAGGAGTGATCCCTGAGCACAGGAGTAAACTCTGAGCACCATTAGATGTGCCCGACCCCCCCCCCCCAGGGCTGGAGCGATAGCACAGCGGTAGGGCGTTTGCCTTGCACGCAGCCAACATGGCCGACCCGAGTTCAATTCCTCCGCCCCTCTTGGAGAGCCCGGCAAGCTACCGAGAGTATCTCGCCCGCACGGCAGAGTCTGGCAAGCTCCCCGTGATGTATTCAATATGCCAGACACAGTAACAACAAAGTCTCCAATGGAGACGTTACTGGGCCCGCTCAAGCAAATTGACGATCAACGGGAGGGCCTTTACCTTTACCTTACCTTACCCCCCCCCAAAACAAAGGACAGGCAGATAAGTAAGTTGTGGCATACGTACACAACAGAATACTATGCAATTTTATGAAAAGAGGAAATCTTGTAGCTTGCTGCAACTTGGAGGGAACAGGAAAGCATCCTGAAATAAGTCAGAGATAGAACAAATGCCAGATGATTTCACACATCTAGAATATATAGAGAAACAAAGCAAGGGAACAGACAAAATTAAATATGGACAAACCATATTTGAGTAGTAGAGGGTCTTGGATGCTTTAGAAGTGGGATAGGTAAGTAATTTTGTATATCAAAATCATAAAAGCACTACTGTAACTGTTAGCAAAATATCACTTTAAAAAGTAAGTAAATAAAATAGTTGTGTCAGAAAGACAGTTCAGGTGTTAAGATGCTTGCCCTAAATGTCACCAACCCTGGTTCAATGTCTGGCACCACATGGTTTCCCTCAAGACTTACCCTGTTGACCAAGAATCACTAGCAGTTGCCCCTAGAATTTTTTTTTTAATTTTTATTAGTGAGACACCATGAGGTACAGTTGTAGACTTACAAATTTTTGTGCTTGGGTTTTAAATGATCAAATACCCATCCCTCCACCAGTGCCCATTTCCCACCACCACGGATCCCAGTATCCCTCCCATCCCCCATCCCCCCCATCCCACCCTGCCCCTGTGGCAGGGTATTCCCTTTTGTTCTCTCTCTCCTATTGGGTGTTGTGGTTTGCAAAAGAGGCAATGGGTGGCAATCATGTTTGGTCTATAGTCTACTTTCCGCATGCTTCTCCCATCCTGGGAGGATCCTCCCAACACCTTTATTTGGTGCTCCCTTCTCTATCTGAGCTCCCTTTTCCCCTAGCATATGTGGCTGGCCTCCAAACCATGGAGTAAAATTGCCCCTAGGAATTTTTTAATGGTACATTTCATGTTGAGCACATTTTACCACAATTTATAATATTTTTTTCAAACACACACTACACAAATCCGAGGAACCGAAAAACAGAAGCTGACAGAAGAGGGGAGAAAAACAATTTACACATAAATAAAAAGCATACAACTGTCTCTCAAACATATAAAAAAAAAGTCCAAGCTCATATATCTAAGAAAAATGCCAAGTAACAGAAACATCACTTCTCTCTTTGGGCCCATCTCTCCTATCACACTGACAAAAATTAAAACTACAACACACTCTGTTGGAGAGTTTGTGAGGAAACAGGCACCTTTTTGATACATGGTAGATAGGAATGCAAATTGGAACAATCACTATGGAGGGAACTGCTGAAATAGTCAACAAAATGACTATACACTTACTTTCAACCTAGCGATTCCACTTCCAGCAATCTACCCTGAAGATGTGGTCCCAACAATATTAAAATACATATGGACAGAATTAGTCATCAGGATTACTCATTACCCAAACATTGAAGCATTATTTGCAATGATAACATACTGAAAACAACCTAATATCTACACATTTGTGAAGACTCATAAGATCAAAGCAGCATTATGAAAATAGAAAGGGAAAGATAATAACTTTTTGGTACTGAATCCTGGTAGACACCAACTTCAATCAAACTTTCAAGGTAAAACTTACCAAGACATATGGACATACTGAACTCCTTCATATGAGTCTCAAAGGACATATGTATCATATTTTTCTGGTACAAATGCAAAACCTCCCTCCAAAACTGAGAAAATATTAGACAAGCCCAAATTGAAGGATAAGGACAAAATAACTTTCAAGGGCCAGAGAGATATTTCAAAGGTTGCTTATGAGAGGTCTAGGTTCAATCGCAGCACTGCACAGTCCCCTGAGGACCACTGAGAGTAAACCCCTGAGAACTGCCAAAAATAAAAACAAAAAACTAATCAATAATCTTTAATCAAAAATTTAAAATGACAAGAAAAGGCTGTTAAGATCTGAGACCAAGGAGAAATAATTCAATATGATACCTTGGATAGGGCAGTAGAAAAGCGAAACACCAGTGGAACTTTAAGGGAAGCTGGTTGAGGGACATAAAGAAACTATTGTTGCAACTTTCTAAACCTAAAGTTACCTCTCAACAAAGTATAAAAAGAAACACCCATTCAACATTATGCATGTGTCATGTGCAGACTAAGTAAGGACAAGGACTGTGTCCTACTACTATTCGCCACAAATGCCAGAAAATCATTGAAAGGAGTCTTTTTAAAAAGTCAGCATGAGCCGGAGCAATGATAATTGAGAGTAAGGCATGATGCCACCCTGAGTTCAGTGCCCAGCACCCTGTATGGTCACCAGAGCTCGCTCGGAGGGATCCCTGAACAGAGACAGGAGTATGCATTGAGCAACACCAGGTATGGCCCCAGCAGCCCACCACCCCAAAAAAGAGCCAGCTATGAGACAAAGACACGAGAAAGCATTCATTTCTCAAACTCCCAGGTTAGCAGTAGAACTCTCAGAACAGCAACAAAAACTCTCAGAAGTTCAACCCCACAGATTTCCCAACTTTCCAGACCATTGTTTCCAAGGCCTCAAGAGCACAAAATAAAGATCAGCTGGAGCTGAGAACCTCAGTACCCTGCTCCAGAGATAAACTGTGGTGTTTCCTGGCCGGGGAAGAAAGCCTGTGTGAAGGCGGTTAACTAACCTGATACAGGGTGACCCTCGCTGGGTCACCTAAGCCAGGCTTCCAACAAGCGCTCCAGCCCTTTTGCACTACCTCCTGGCCCCAGCCCCGGTTTTGACATTTTCAACTGGCTGAAAAATAATTCATGGTATGTAAACATAAAAATTACATAGACTTTAATATTGGTGTCCATAAGTAAAGCTGCCTTGTGCCAACGGCCCCTCACTTGCACTGGTCTTTGACTGCATCCACAATACAAGGACAGAGTTGAGAAGGCGAGACCCCCGGGCTGTAAATAGTATGTACTCGTTATATGCACAAAATAACAATGTTACCGCATTTACCACTAACGTTGGCCGGCCCCTGAACAAGATCTGGCTCCCATAGTTCTAACCAGCTAACAGATCCCACAGATGCAACCTCGGCCTTCTGGAGCCCGACCCTGTCGAACCCCAAGAGTCGGTGGCTCCCCAAACCACCGGTGCAGGGGCGGCACTGTCCTCCCGTTGTTCATCGATTTGCTCGAGCGGGCCCCGTAACGTCTCCATTGTGAGACTTTGTTGTTACTGTGTTTGGCATATCCAAAACGTCACGGGGAGCTTGCCAGGCTCTCCGAGCGGGGCGGGGGAATCGAACTCGCGTCGGCTGGGCCGGCCGCGAGCAAGGCAAAAGCCCTACCGCTGTGCTATCGCAGGCCGGTCAATTTCCGCAGCGCCAGCCGGCCGGGCGGGGACGTCCCGTCGCCTTCTCGGCCTGGCTTTTCCTGCCGGACAAGGGTGCAGGTGCCAGCACTCACCTCGCACGGCCGCTCCGGGAGGTGGAAGGCTGGCGCCGGGCTTTGCAGCCCGCAGCAAAGAATCAATGGTGGCTGCAGCTGTCATGGAGAAGCACCCACGAGGCGGCAGCCCGGCCCGGCCGGGGGGAGGCCCCGGGCAGCAGGGAGGGCCGGCAGGGGGCCCACGCGCGCTGGCCTCGGGGTCCCCGGCGGGGCTGCCCTCGGCCAGAAGCCCCCGGAGCTCGCGCCCCGGACCCCGGGTCAGTAGAACCCCGCCCCTACCGGGGCCTCCAGGAACTCCTCAGGCGTCTCCACGGCAACAGCCGGTCCGCCTCGACCCCCGCCGGCCGCCGCGCGCCTGTCAACAAGGAGCGCTCCCATTGGCTCCGGTGCAGCCCCGCCAGCCAATCAACGAGGGCTCAGGCGCCGCTCGCGCGCCCGGCGAGCTGCTCCGGCCGCGGCCGGCAGCTCCCGCTTCCTGCGTGCCGGACCGGGACGCCGAGGGCCAATGGGCGCCGAGCTCTGGCGAGCGTCCTGGGTCCAGCACTTGTAGGTAGCGCCTGATTCGCTGCCTGGCCCTAGCAGTCGCTAAGAGTCGGGTTGTGTTATTGTTACAACCTGGGACTGGAGGTCTGAAGGCAGTGGGTACTCGAGGTTGAGGAATGTGGCGGGGAAGCGCGTTCTCCTTCATTTTATCCCATTTCTCACCGCTCTCCTAAAAGGCTTCAAAGCCGAGAGGGCAGAAGTGCAATCAAGCTATCAAACAAGTGTGTGTGGGGAGCAAGGGGTTAGACAAGATCCAGGGAGTGTGACACAAATTCCAGAGCCGAAAAGAGGTTCCAGAGATTCTGGCATAAATCTTGCTATGTCAAGCTGTGTTGTAGGGCAGAGCTTGGTTCTGGTTGGTTCAAACACATGGCTGCTTGCAAACCTGAGGAAGGTTTATTTGTGGTGGTTGTGGTGATGGTGTTTAGGCGACATCCAGGGGTGCACTGGAGTCGCTCCTTGGCTACTGGGGAATCTTGTAGTATGGAGATCAGAGCAGGACCTCCCCCATGCAAACCATGCATTCAGCCCTTAGAGCCATCTCCCTGATCCCAGCAAGAATGGTTTCCATTAGAAACCACGTTGTGGCCTTATCTTTATTCTTTGATTTTACTTACCTGGGGAAGAACTCATACCATCAGTTCAGTACAAAATTTTACTGATGACCTGGAGAGATAGTTCAGCAGGTACGGTCCCCAGTCTCGCCAGACATGATTACTGAGCAGAGCCAGAAGTAATTAGCCCCTGAGCACTGGTAGCTGTGTACCCCCCATTTTTTTACTGATATGTTAGGAGGTAGAACTGAGTCACAAATCTTGGTTTTGACAGATTTTGAAAGAATAGCCTTAGGACAGAGAGACAGTAACTATATGCATAACCAGACTTTAAAAAAAATTGACATCATGCAGTTCTGGATGCATCGTCCTACTGAACATCAGAAGATTCTTTCGGATGAAAATAGTTGAGAATACATGGAAATTGTAGGATAACACTGCCACAGGGAGCTTAGGTTTATTGGTTATACTCATCACAGTGCTCCTGAGTCACTCCCATTCCTGTTTATCTGTAAACTCTTCTCTGTGCTCTCCTCCCCAGCCAGTTAATCACCTTTTCTCCCTTATCAGATTCTGTTAGCTTATAAGGTCAGATCCTTCTAAGGACACTGAATTTGTATTGTAAATTATGTCTTTTGCATAGTTTACCTTAAGCAATGTCCTTTCTGTATAGACACAGGAAGCCAGTTAATATTATGCTTTGTAACTTGGGAGTTGATTGACTCCGAATAATATTTACTCCTGGGCATCTGCTTTCCTGACTCAGTTGCCCTTAGTTCCTAGCACCCCAAAAGCAGGGTCCCGGCGAGGGACTGAATGGACCCAGGACAAGCTGTGAGCTACCCTGGCATTGAAATGGGCCAGGCCAAAGCACCACGATACTCAACTATAAGTTGAGGGCACGAACATGGACAAATGCTGTCATGATCCAAAAGTAAGTGACGATGAGACTAGGACCCTGCTGGGGCTAGGAAGACTAACCTGGCCTGAGGACTGCGGAATATATAGTGAGATGTCCTCAGGAAGAACCAAACTGTAAGTTTATATCTCTTACTATGTTCATACTGAATGACATTGCTAGAAATATTGGAAGTAGACTTACTACAACTATTTAAGTAGATTACTCTCTGAGGAAAGAACACACCCTTGTTGGGATCCCACCCTTGAGCAGATCTCCTAGTAATCTGGAATAATCTCTTTAGATGAGATTTTATCCTTGAGTTAATCTCCTCAAGGAGTGGTCTTACCTCTCTTTGCTGATTTGTTAATGTTCAACCCATCTTTGTGTCACCACCCTACATGATTGCTATATAAACTAAGACTGTAAGCTCGGGCAGGAGAGAAAGCGCAGACAGGCTCGGGCTGAGGCTCAGGCTCGAGCTTGGGCTCCAGAGAACAGAATCAGAAGTGAGAGGGGTTCAGGCTTGAGAGAGAGAAGCAGAAGGGTAGTGAAGATTGGTCCCGACCAGCCTGGCCCTCGTTCCTTCCTTCGCCTGCCCATTACCATCAACCTCCCCAGGGTGGGGGAAGCTACGTGAGACCACCGAATGTGGGCGGCGGGAGAGACAGAGCGCTGCCGGACTTTTGAAAACACACAAGAAATGTAGCCAGGGAATGTGGTTCAGTAATACACAGATAAGGCCCTGAGTTCCATTGCTGCTGGCATCACAAAAAAAAGGTATGAACAATCCAAGTAGTGGCTTGGAAATGAGAAACTGCACCGGCCATGCCAGAAGCTCCCTCTGGCAGCACAGAAACTCAGTGCCTGGCGGGCCCTGTCCAGAGCCGATATCACCGGGAGGTCCCAGATGGGGTAGGTGCCGTCTCCCCGCCTTCCCCAGATGGAATCCTGGTGACCATGAGCTTCTACAAGCATGGCTCTGGCATGCGGGTACCAGAACTTTTTTCTAAACTGCGCGACCGCGTAAGCCGACATTTCCTGATATGCAAAGTGATCAATGGAAAGCAAATGATCTAGCATTTCCCCCTGAAAATCAGGCTTGAATGGCGATAGGAAAATCTGAGGCAAAGATAATACCCAACCCAAACACATCTGGACTTTGTATTTAACTATGATGCTATGCCACCCTGGGAGTGGAAGGGTGTCTGTCCCTCGCCTGTCCCCCTTTACAGCGGCAGCATGGTAGCCTGCATCTTTTAGAGCCCAATGAACAGCCTGCTATGAGACTGCATTGATGAGGCACTTGGGGCTTCATGGGATGGGAGTGGAATCGGCCCTGCGCCCTGCCATGACAATGCTCCGGGTTGCCACCCTCAAATGCCTCATCCGGACCAACTATGATCCCAGAGGCACACATACCAATCTTGGAACCCAGGGGCTTCTGGCAGTAATCCCTCCAGGTTTATTACTAAAATGTCAGAAATCCTAATTCGCTTGGCCGCTGTTGTGGCCACACGACATCATATGCTCTTCATAATCAGCAATAGAAAACAAATTTTCTAATTATGTCTTTGTGGCAGGTCTCAATGTTGGGGAAAATTCCAAATAACAATGTTGGGTCTTTTCTGGTAATATTGAATGTGATCAACATAGAGAGAGAGAGAGTAAAGTGAAAATCTGCCATACAGGCAGGGGGTTGGGGGGGGTAGTATACTGAGGTTCTTGGTGGTGGAAAATGTGCACTGGTGAAGGGACGGGTGTTTGATCATTGTATGATCAACCCAGACTTGAACTGAAAGGCTTTGTGACTGTTTTCACGGTGATTCAATAAATAAAAAAAAAAAAAAGAAGAAAAAAGAAAAAAAAGAAAGAAACTCAGTGTCTGGGGCTGTAAGATAGTCTAGTCCTTAGGGTGCAGGCCTACCATGAGCCCTAGCAGGGTTCAATTCCCAAAGCACCACATGGTTGCCTAAGTATCATTGCTGCTGCGGCCCTTGAGGCCCCCAGCATCCCCAAGGTAGCCTGGGTATCCGCAGCAACATTACAGCTAGTGCCCATGCACTGAATGAAGCACTAGCCTAGGTGGTCAAGAATCACTGGTGGGCACCCGACACATCCCCCAACCCACCCGCAGCCATGGCAAAAAAAAAAAAATCTCAAAAATACATCTAAGGTCAGTGGGGAAAGTGGAGAGACCATCCCAACATCGAGCAGCTGACTTGCCACTTTTACCACAGGGGGATGAAAGGTGGAGATCTGCGAGGCTGTTCTCTGTGATCTCAGGGTTAGACCTGACTCTCTCCTTGGACTTATCACAACCACCTTAAATACATCCTGAGTTTCTTTGGAAAACAAGACACATGTTTGCTTGCTTTTCGTTTGGGGGCCACACCAGGTGATGCTCAGGGGTTACTCCTGGCAGTGCGCAGAGGACCAAATGGGATTCCAGGATCTAACCTGGGTTGGCCACATGCAAGGCAAGTCCCCCACTATACTATCACTCTGGACCCAAGAAAATGAGTGCCCAGCTGTTGGAACTGGGAGCCAGGGGATAAAACTCTGAACTCTAGCTTCTAACTAGAGCCCTCAGCAGTGGTCAGGTACAAACACAGCAGGCCCAGGTACATTTCACTGCAACTAGCTTTATTAACATGGAGTATCTATGCTTAAATGATGTTTCAATTTGATGTTTCACTGTGCACTAAAGGATGGTTTGATTCTTGGGTGTACGAGTTAAATGCACCATTGTGACATTCAAAGGTCATGAGATGTAAACGCTGCATCAAACCTCTGGAAGGAAACTGAAAGGAGATGACTTTAAGCTCCTACCCATCTCTGTTCTTTAATTCTCCTCAGCAAAGTCAAAGCATGAAAGGGTATTCAGGTAGAGAATGAGACTCCCATCCATTCCGTTTTTAGCTATGATGGTTGCACTCCCATGTTTTCCAGTCAGGGTTGCGGGTTTTACAAGTTATACAACTACAGAGAATTCTTAGGCAGACTCATGAGAAATGGAGTTTGGAAACTAAAGAAGTTCGCCCCAAAGCCAACCCTTCCTTCTCCCTGTCAGGAAAGCAGTCCTGAGAATTTTTAACTGCCCTGTCCACCTGGGGTTCATTTTTGCTGGTCAGCAAAATCTACAGGAAGGTCGGGACTCAAACAGCTTCTAGATCCAAGAGCTGAAGCAATGAGCATTGCAATATTGTTATCTATAGAATATCTACATAGTCTTCCAGATGACAAATATTTTCTCAGACATTTGGTCTTCATCCATTGCTTCTGGCTCACACCTCCCCAAACTCTTGTTATGTTAATAAAGGTGACCTTTTGAAAATGCCCGAGCATAGAGGATAGTAGAGTGCTGGAGGAAACCAGAATAGCATGCAGAACCTTCACTCCCACTCTCACTCTCTGCGAGGCGCTCTAAGGACTTTATCAGCCAAACCTATACAATTAAATCTCAAAAAAAGAGGGCCAAGTAGAACACACGGTAAGGCCCTGAGTTTAGTTTTCCAGTACTGACAAGGGAAAACACAAAGCTACACAGGAGGGACACTGAGAACATCCAGGTTGGTGAAGACGGGGAGATTTGGGAGAGAGTGGTACACCGGAGAGAGCATGAAGTCAAGCCATTCCTGAGTTCCGAGTTCTATCTTTTGTAATAACTCACTGATCAGAGAGTAATTGGGTTTGCTGCGTTCTGTGAAGTGATAGAGCACCTGAGCTGAATCTGAGGGGGAGAACCTGTTGATTTAGAACCACCCAGAGCATGGATGACAACCTGTGGATGGCACCTGCAATCTGGGAACCTCTCATTTGTAGCAAGTTGGTCAGAAACTGAGGGAACAGCCTAGTTTCAAGAAGAAGGTCTTGGGAAACTAAGCCTATAGCCTTGGAATCTGGTGCTAAGCCTGGGGAGACAGTGTCAGAAGTGAGTTGTATTCTCAGACTCGCTGCTGTGAGAAAGTCTCCACACACTCAGAGAGGGGGCTGGACAGGATAGGAAGGCCTGCAGGCTAAGCCCTCCAAGCTCATATTTGAGCAGCCTAAACATATTTGCTCATATTTGAGACAGCAGCCCAGAGGACAGGAAGTGCCCGTGCCCCAGATTCCCGAAGTCCATTCCTCACAACCCACACCACTTCCCAGGGTGGCCCAGAATGCAAGGGAGTGGTTCGGGAGGCAAAGAAAGCATGTGTGAAAGTCGAATGCGTCTTTATTTTGCATGTGTACCAGAGTAAGCGGACTGTGGAGCCCAGGCATGTCTGCACCAGGAGTGTCAGAAGCCGGTATCCACCAGGCCCTTACTTTGCCAGCAAGTCTCTCAGGAAGGGGTGGCCCACTCACAGATGCCCTGGAATGACCTCTGTGCCCATCATAAAAAAGTCATCACCGTCCCCTTCTTGCCAATCTGCCAAGGTTCCACCGGGTAAAAGCGAACAATTATCCTTCAGGAGACAGAGAGAAAGATGTCATCAATTCCTTGCTATCAACACCTCATAGTCTAAGACCCTGGGCACTCTTAGCATGGGCTCCCAGGCCTGCCCATCAGGCATCTATAAGCCTGTCATCCCAGTAAGGATCTCTCTGCCAAACCCTGGCAGAGCAGTGGGCCTCTCAGGGCCAGGACAGTCGTTGTCCCTGGACAGATACCCAACACAGGAGCCTCTGCTGCCACTGGGATGCTCTGGGCTCAGTGGGGCAGCCGTCTCTCTTCCAAAGTGCCAGGGTCCCAGTCCATTCAAACAACATCAGGTGCAGGGCCACCCCTAGGAACATTTGTGGCCTGGGTGAATATGCCCCTCCCACAGACATGACAGGAAGTTCCTGGGAAGAGCACCAGGGTATTGGGACAGCGTGGGAGACAGGGTATGCATGACAGCCTGTTTTTCCACCTGAAAATGGGCCTAAACAGAGGCATCTCCATGGGGATGAAAAGTCTGCATGAGGTGGTACAGACAAGAGGATAAGGCTTACAAGGATCAAATGAGAGCTCCACCAGTTAAGTACTTACTTACAGAGTGTACCTAGAACATGGTAAACATTCTCTATGTACTGATTGTTAAAAATTGTTCTCTTTCCCCAGTTTGAGCAGGTGGCATTTTGGTTACTCCCCAGCTGAAACTTACCAGCCTCCCTGGGCCAACTGAGATTCCATTATCAAAGGCTCTTTCAAACTTTGAATCCCCTTAATTCCTCATAGGATGGAACGTGGCTCAGGAATACTTTCACCCAGAAAAAAATGTTTTGGTTTATGTTATGTTTTGGTGGCTATACCCAGCTGTGCTAGGGGGAACCAGGCAACACTAGAGATCATACCCAGGCTCCCATAAGCAAAGCACGCTCCAGTCCTCTGAGCCATCTCCCTGACCCTTTAACTCTGTTACAGATTCAGGGGTTTGGGGAATTGTTGGGACTTCCTGGGGGGAAGGGAGGAGGTCATTTAATACCTCACCCTCTGTTCACAAAAGAGAACACTATGAATTAGAAACTTGGAATTCTGATTTGTTTGGGGTCCCTGAATTGTGCTGGACCCAGAAGCCGGGACTCCAGACAGTCAGGCCCCTATTTTTTTTTTCCTCTGTTCCCTGATTGGGCCATAGGCCCAAAGGTCACAGAGACAGGACATACCCAGAATCCCTCCTGACTAGTTTTGAAAGATTCTGGGAAACCAGTCTTGATTTTCTAGGTTCTGGAGAAGCCTGATGGAAGGGAGGTGACAAATGGCTCAAGCTTTGTCAGAGTAACAACACCCTACCCTGCCAGGTGCTGAGTTCCAGGCACTGTCACTCATAAGCCCCTCTGCCCCTCCCCAGACCAGTTTCATGGAGTTTTCCCACTCCACAGATGGATCAGTGAGGCCAGGCTTTGTGCAGATGTCACTGCAGAGCCAAACGCTATTCAGTTCTGCTCCCACTCTGAAGGGGAGCCTAGGAGGGCCGAGGGGATCAAGGTCCTGGGGCTGTAGGCAGGCCCCAACCTGATGCGTGGGATCACTGCCTCTGTCGCAAACCCATCGCCCTGCCCTACGCACCGATCCTGGCTCATATTCAGCTCCTTGGTGAGGACCTCGAAGAAGCGCGCGCTGTGGCCGCGGTTCTCCTCCGCAGTGCCCACCACGCCGATGGAGGACACGATCAGCTGAGCGCAGGGATCCGACGTCCCGTTCACCACCATGGACAGGCCGGGCCGCACCGTCACGTTCACGCGCTGCGGGGGACATGAAAGTCCCGCCCGAGGTCGGTGCAGGCCGGACTGGACCCCAGACCCCAGGGAGGCGAGGCTAGAGACGCGTGGGCCCCGCAGGATAGGGGCTGGGGGCAGAGGTGGAGCCCGTGGAGGTCACGGTCGTGGCTGGGAAGGACCACCGAGTAGAAGTGGCGGGGGGGTGGGGGGAGGGGGTTTGGAACAAGGTCATGGAACGCGGAAAGAGAGCGAGGTGGGTGGAGAGGGGTGGTCCCTGGGAAACAGAATCGGGTCGTGCTGGGGGACCCCCAGTGTGGACAGACCTCGGTTCCTCTGCTACACCAAGCCCCCGCCAGCCCGACCCTCCCCGGCCCCTGCTCACGTCCTCGGGTTTGCCCAGGATGGCCGCGGTGACCGCGCAGAGCCGCTTCTCCAGGCCCTGGGGCACACGGGCGGCGGGCAAGTTCGTGTCCAGCTCTACAAACGGCATGTCCACGGGGTGGTGGGCCGCAGCCAGAGAATGCGCGCAGTCCGGGTCCGCCAAGCCGGAGCCCGGGCAATAAGGCCCGGGGGCGGGACTCCACAAAGCCCGGCTCGGTATTGGCTGGGCAGGCGCACAGAACCCCTTCGATTGGCTGCTTAGGTTACACCCTCGCAGCGGTGTAACCTTGGCGAGCTCAGATTTCCGGAAGTTCTGTCCCAGGCCCGCCCCGCGCTCTGCAGGGACTTTGGTCCAGCCACAGCCCCGCCCACTGAGCCCCGCCCCGCCCCCCGCCCCGCTCAAAGCAGGCGGTTGACCGGCTCCAGGGAATTGTGGGACGCTGAGGTGGTGGGCTTCCAAGCCTCTGTTGAGGTGGAGGGCTGAATGCACGCCCCCCCAAATGCACACCACGTTTCGGAGGCTTAAACTATTTTTGAGGAAGCTGCCCCCATTTCAAAGTCAAACAACTTCATGTTCAATATGGGAATCTGCGCTTCTCCATCTGGATACCTGGCAGGGGTAAGCAAGGAAGCTTGGGCTCACTGCACCCCTGCACAGCCAAGCAGACATCTGCCTTTGTGGTTTCTTGGGCTGGTGACAATCTTATCCTATGGTAAAGTTCCTTTTACCAAACGGTGGAAGCCAGGTACCAGGTACAGGTGCAATACGGGTACCAGAGTATTTATGGTGCCCTATAATTTCTATAAACAAAGCAAAATGTACTTTATAAAATCTAGAAGTCAGACCAGCGAGAAAACAGAGGGAGAGGCATGCCTTACTTGCAGGTGACTCTGCCCTGTATGTTCCCCTGATCACCACCAGGGGTCAATCCTGACCAGAGTCAGAAATAGTAATCCCTGACCATCAGAGTGTGTGGCCCCAAAAACAAAAATAATTTTTAAATAATAGTAAAACGTATAAATCTACTGGTTTGGACAAGCATTACAATAATTGCTCTGTGTCATCTTCAGTCAGTTCCCAGAAAAGGCATCACTGTCCCTGTCACTGTCCCTGTCCTCCCGTTCATCGATTTGCTCTAGCGAGCCCAATAACATCTCCATTGTGACACTTATTACTATGTTCGCCATATCGAATACATCACGGGTAGCTTGCCAGGCTTTGCTGTGAGGGTGAGATACTCTCGGTAGCTAGCTTGCCGGGCCCTCCGAGAGGGGTGGAGGAATCAAACCTGGGTCGGCCAGATCGGCCGCGTGCAAGGCAAACGCCCTACCGCTGTGCTACCGCTCCAACCCAGAAAAGGCATCATTAAGAAAAATTACTTAAGACCTTTGAATAACATCATTTTGTGGGACCTAGTGGGAGAAATGAGAGGTTGTCTTTTTCCTTATTAACTTTGTTGACAAAAGGACTTTGTTGGGGCCAAAGAGATGGTACATAGGTGCAAAGAGATAGCACATAGGTAAGGCATTTGTCTTGCACACTGTTGACCCAGGATTGATCCACATTGATCCCTGAGCACTGCCATGAATGATCCCTGAGCACAGAGCCAGAAATAAGCCCTGAGCATAGCCAGGTGTGCCCTCCTCCCCAAAATAAAGGACTTCAAATGAAAATACTTTTTTCTCTTTTTGGAGGGGCGGGATACACACCCAGCAATGTTTAGGACTCCTGGCTCCACACCGTATTTAGGATTTACTCCTAGCGGGACTTGGGGAACCATATGGGATGCTGCGGATTAAACCTGGCTTGGCCACATGCTAGGCAAGCACCCTACCCACTGTACTATCACTTAGGGCCCAAGTTAAATTACACTATTAAAAAAGTTGCCATACTCCTATCAGTGCTGTCAAATCATTTGAACTAAAAATAAAATGTTGAAATTATGTGGGTGTGTATGAATGATTTCAATTACAATAAAATTTCTTTACGAGGGTAGCTATGAGGGGAACATCCCTCAGGTGGCAGGTAGGACCATTGGGATCTGCTTTTGATTTTTCCCATTAGTACTTCATTGCATGACTCCAACATTAGAGGGTGACACAGGATAGATTGTGTCTTGAATGGGGCACAGAGAACTAGGAAAGGAATTACAAACAGGTTTGTCAGGAAAAATTCTCTTGGCAACACCTGGAGGGCAAGAAAAGAACCTGGCACCTCCTTCCCGGCAATGAGGCTCGTGAATCAGCCCTGCACCCCTGTGGGAGAACATGCCACTCCCCGAGGGACGAGAAGGAGCCAGGAGACAAGGAGGCAAGGCCATTCCTAATTCAGATGCTTGCCTTCCTGCCTTCGGCCTTCCTTCCTGCCTGCCTGCCTGCCTTTCTTTTTTCTTTTCCTATTTTGGGGCCACACCGGCCCCCCAATTTTTCTTTTCTTATTTTTTGACCACACAGGATTTACTCCTGGCTCTCTGCTCACTGCTGGTTGGGATCAGAGGACCACACGGGGTGCTGGGGGTTGAACCTGGGTTGGCCACATGCAAGGCAAGTGCCTTACCTTCCGTACTATTGCTCTAGCCCCTCAGACACTTTTCAAGGGTCAGCCTCCATGTGTGACCTGTGGTCAGCCCAGGAGGAATGTCCCTGACAGGCCTGAGGGAGGATAACTGTAGGGCTGAGAGGAGCCTTGGAGTGGGAGTGTCACCTGATTCAGCCAGGGACTGTGGACTCTCAGGAGTTCAAAGCCAATTTCTCCGTTTGAGGAACTGAGAAGACAAGGTAGTGGCAGTGGCCAAAAGACCAGGAGGGGCTCCAGGCAAAGGCAAGAAGAGTCTGCGGGCAGTGGAAACAGTTGGACTCACGCCATGATGGGAGCTGGGAGAAGGAGCTGGAAAATGATGGGTCACGGTGTGCAGCCTGAGGGGAGGGGAAGAAGGGGAAGGAGGTGATGGTAGTGGGGGAGGGGGGGAGTGGCCTCGAATGCCAAGTTCAAATCTTGCCCTGGAACTTCAGGACTGAGAGGTGCAAAGGAAAGTTACAAATGGAGAAGGTCAAGCCTGTGTTTACTGAACTCTTTTCAGAGGGTTTGTGGAAGTTGGAGGCCAAGAGACCGAGTAGAGAGAAAGTACGGAGACAGATGCTCGTGGCCTGCATGCAGGAACGTGCTCACTGTCGGGGAGGTCAGCTCCAGCTGCCCGCCAGAAAGTCAGAGTCTCTGTCGTGGTCACTGGTGGTGACTCTCCGGGTCCAGCCCGGCCCCTCAGCGCAGAAAGACCTGCACCAAGGGCTTCATTTTCTCCTTTACATCAGCATCTGCTGGAGGAAGGTCCTTGATCTTCATGATGGCAGCGTGTGCCTCCTGGAAGAGGCTCTCCCCCACCGCGGCCTCCACTCGCTGGCGCCACGCATCCAGCTTAGGGCGGCTCTTGAACAACTGGCAGCCAGCACTGACGGGCTGTGGGGAGAGGCAGTCGGAAGGGGCTGAGCACCACCGACGGCAAGATGGCTGGCCCTGACTTGGGGATCTCTCAGAAGAAGTTTCCCTCCTCTGACCCTCCCCCAGAAGATACGGGGAAGGTCTTTACTTCAGAGTGGGGTTTTGAAGCCCCATTTTCCTGATGAGAACACTGAGGCTCAGAGGGTAAAATGATTCAGCCTGGGAAACACAGCTGGAAAGGGCAATGTGAGCCGACATTCTCATTTCCTCCCAGGACATCTCCCTGCCCAGCGGCCCATCTCCACATCACTGTACTCACATGCATCAGCTCTGTGATGGCTACCAGGTCAGCTATAGAGATCTGGGACCCAGCAAGAAAGGCCTGATCCTTCAGGAACTTGTCCTCCAGAAGCTGCAGGCACCTGTCCAGCTCAGTCAGAGTGGCCGCCAAGATCTCAGGGGGTACCGGCTGGCCCACGAACTTGGGGATAATCATCTGGTGGGTGGCAGATAGAAGACTCAGGGTCTGGCCAAAACCTGGCTTGGTTCCCACTCTCAGCCCATCTATCACCAGCCTTTTGATTTCTCCTTGCTCCCATCTACTACCTCTTCCCACCGATGAACACCAACAGCCAGGACCTCATCTACTCATAAAGGGACAATCTCAACCACTCCCTGGGTCCTCCACAGCATCCTATAAAGATCTCCCAGTAATCCCCATCTACCCATAGCTTCAGGGGCCCCCATGGTTCCCCATTGCCTTCACCATAAAGGCAACACAAGGACTCTACCAGAGACTCGTCCTCTCCTGATTCCTCTTCCTCCATTCGGGGCTACTTAAAATGGCAATGTTTGTGAATCCCCAGGTCAGCCAGCCTGGGTAGGGTTGAAAACTGAATTTCCCCCCAAGTCCCCAGCGAATGCTGAAGCTCCTGGTTCATGTACCATGTTCTAAGCAGCAAAAGTTTTAAGCAAAAAAAAAAAGTCTCTTTGACTTCCCTCCATTGGCCTTCAGATATGCCAAACTTCATCCCCACCAGCATGAGTTGACCTCTAGAGGGTCGAGACACATGCACTTCAGGGGACAGAGGGGTACAGCAGTCACGGGGCTGGAGCGATAGCACAACAGGTAGGGCGTTTGCCTTGCACGCGGCCGACCCGGGTTCGATTCCCAGCATCCCATATGGTCCCCTGAGCACCACCAGGAGTAATTCCTGAGTGCAAAGCCAGGAGTAACCCCTGTGCATCGCTGGGTGTGACCCCCAAAAAAAGGATACAGCAGGCAGGGTGCTTGACTTGCACGCAGATAACTCAGGTTTAATCCCCAGAACCCCATATAGTCCCCAAACCTGCCGGAATGATCCCTGAGCACAAAGCCAAGAGTAAGCTCTGAGCACTACCAGGTGTGACCCAAAATCCAGAGAGAGAGAGAGAGAGAAAGAGAGAGAAGTGTTATGTCCCAGCAGCTTAGGGCCTCAGCACCTGGGGAAGTCACTCCTTAACTCTGTGCCTCAGCTTCCCCCTGGAAAAGAACCTGATCAGAACAGGGACCCTCTGGCATCTAGGATTTGGTGTTGGGAGGTCTCAGGTATGACAGAATTTTTTAACCAGAAAGCACCCCACTGAGCACCCTGGGAGGGGTCCCTTCCTCTCCCTCCAATCCCTCCCGTGTGCCACTTGGCCTGGGTGGAGCTCACCTTCTGCCACAGGACCCGAGTGCAGCTACTCCGCAGAGCTG